CCGTACTTTCTGCTTGTTATTTTGCCCAAATTTGATGCCGATTGACATAGTCTGAACCACTTTGGAAGCGTTAAAAACACCGTTGTGAGGAATTATTTCTGTTGTAAATTTTGTTTCAACGTTTTGTTTAATGATTATTTTTGCATAAATCGTGGTAATGTATAGTCGTATCGATTGGCATGAAGGTTGAAAATGCAGATTTCTGTGATGCTCAATCTCAACTGCCGGATGATTTATATGATGCTTTTGAATAATTTCTATCGGGTGGGTGACAGTATCCCCATTATTTGTTGAACTCGTGCACTTTGCGCGATATAGAAAATCTGGAACATATCTCTGCTGCGGCTCGATCCGTACATTATGTTTTATCCCCCTGGATCTGCGCTACCAAATTATGTATGGTCTGCCCGAATTTATTCTCTTTCAGCGAGTAAAAAATTCGTCTCTCAAGTTTAAAAAAATTTGAGTTCCGGTTCTTCGCGAACTGTCATTGTGTTTGTAATTGGAGAACTTCATGTGTAGCCTGTGCTGTGCAGTCATCGCAGTGAATCCCATAACGACGTTTATGCCAAAGTATTGGCAGTGCTCCATGGACACATACTAATAAGTCTTATTCAAAAATGCTGATGAAAATGTTAATTTTCTTTTCATACGGAATGAAATTTCTCACTTGGACTTGGTCGAACATCGATTTTCGCTGTTTACTGTCTTCTTAAGTAATTTATATTTATGTTCCAGAAATGTGGTATTTCATCTGTTTTCTATGTTCGACTGTTGTTCTAACGTACAGCGCCGATGAAGATTATGTGACGTGTGGTTCAGTTATAAAACTGCGAAATAACAAAGATGGTGAGTTCATTCTTCTAGCCTCCTTCATGCTGAATTAACCTTAATGTCTCTGTCCACTAATATTCCAGTTATCGGCTTTCTGCTTACGGCATCTTGACATTAACTGAGCTCATTTGGACATGTTAATTTCATTTTCACTTATTTTTAAACTACATCAGTAAAAATAAGTCATCAAGCATTCCATTATACTGTTCGAGTTTCAGGTCTGAGACTGCACTCACACGATGTGAAATATGGCTCAGGAAGTGGTCAACAATCAGTGACTGGAATGGCCGAAAGTGACGATGTGAACTCACATTGGCAAATCATACCTCGTCAGTCAATCCGCCTCATTCATTTTGATTTATTTTGACGGTGTATTTTGCTGCACTGAAATTGTTCAGTTAATTTTTGCGCTTCTCAGTGAGTATTCGAGCGTTTTGAAATGAATTGACGACAAATCTGAGTTGGATCTCTAAAATGTTTCAGCAATAAAGGGTAGCTGCAGACGAGGTGATGAAATCAAGTGCGGTGACAAAATTCGTTTGATGCACTTGACGACCAAATGCCTTTTGCACAGTCATTTGTTCAATGCACCACTCTCGAGGAGTAATCAAGTGAGTTAACTGATATCATGTCACATGTTTTATTCGAGGTTTTTCATTTCCATTAGTGACCTTGTTTAGGAGATTAGTCAGACGTAAGATATGATTTTCGCCAATCTTTTGGTGTTAAATGGCTTAAAGGTTACGTCAACTATTCTTGTGAAAAATACCAGATGAATTTCACAGGAAGTGTCGTGTTTCGGTAAAGATGGTGAAGGAGATACGGGCGATCATTGGGTGGTGATGTGCAATACAGATGAGTGGCTGCGTGATGAGCCGGTCAGGCTGAAGCATGAGGATACAGGTGTGTTTACCATCGTCATATTAAGATCATCAGTCAGTGTTGTTCGCATATATTGCCCGTTCTATCATAATATTTACTATGTTTATCATTTTATTCAGGTAAATTTTTGGCCTCAAGTGGTCAGCTATACGGAAGACCAATCAGTGGGCAAGGTGAAATAGTTGGAGTTTCGTCACCGGGCAGTTCGTGCTATTGGATCACTTCAGAAGGCGTTTATATGAGTAAATCCAAAGAGCCTTCTTCAACTTCTTCACATACGGAATTATAGAACTGAATTTATTTGTGTGGGTTCACTGTACTGCTTTTTGCGGTTGGTCGCATTTCATTGTGATATCATTTCGACTTTGTTGTTATTTCAGTTAAGATTGTTGTTGTTAATATTGTTTTATTGCCTCGATTATTATTATCCGTATTTTAGTGAACTGATGTCTTGATTAAGATTATGATTACTATTATCATTTTTAACATTTTTTGTAATCGTTATTATTATTATTATT